TATACTTCCGGGGTCTGTCGAGGGGGGGGGGGGGTGACCATATATATATATATATGTATGTATATGTATATATATATATAACCGCAAGCCCTAGACCTTGTAAACCTTGAACCAAAAAAGCCTAATTAAACCCTAAACCCGAAAAGGGCGCATAATTTGGATCAGCTTCGCATGTGAATTTAGCAAATTAGGGAGGGAAGAGCCCTCTGTGCATGCCCACGTCACAGCTGCTGACGACCCCCGCGCTGTTGGCGATGTGGAAGATGTGCGAGGACAAGAGGGCTCGGGACTGAGGGATGTTTTTCGGGTCCCGCAGTGTAGGGTTTAGGGTTTAGGGCTTAGGGTTTAGGGTTTAGGGTTTAGGGCCTAGGGCTTAGGGCTTAGGGCCTAGGGCTTAGGGCTTAGGGCTTAGGGCTTAGGGCTTAGGGCTTAGGGCTTAGGGCTTAGGGTTTAGGGTTGGCAAAATAGAATCTTACCCGAGGTGCCCAGACAGTGTCAGTTCTGTCAGGCATTTGTTCTAGCCCAACAACCCTAAGCCCAGAAGCCCCGAACCATCGGTAAGAGGGGCGCGAGGGTTTAGGGTTTAGGGTTTAGGGTTTAGGGTTTAGGGTTTAGGGTTTAGGGTTTAGGGTTTAGGGTTTAGGGTTTAGGGTTTAGGGTTTAGGGTTTCTTCTGAGGGGCGGGGAGGGTTCGGGATTTGGGATGATTCTTGTTCGGACTTTAGGTTGCATAGTTTAGGGTTTAGGGTTTAGGGTGTGGGGTATTTTGAGCCCCAAAATCCCTCCAACCGAGATTCCCAAAACCTACAGTCATCAACCCGGACACAAGGGGAGGGGAATGTGGCCAGGCGGAGCCAGGCGTCGTGTACGTCGAGAGGCGGGGGCTGCGCCCCTAGAACCTTCTTGCACCCGACCCTGACCTTGATCACCTCCTTCAGAACCCTAAGCTATTCTAGACTCACTTAAGCCCTAAACCCTTACAAATAGCCCTCCTGATAAGAACCCAGCTGCACCTTCCAAGAAGGGAGTCTGAGTTGCCTTCGGGAGTTCTGGAAGTTCGGGTATACAGGGTGCGGTGTAGGGTTCAGGGGTTCAGGGTTCAGGGGTTCAGGGGTTCAGGGGTTCAGGGGTTCAGGGTTCAGGGTTCAGGGTTTAGGGTTTAGGGTTTAGGGTTTAGGGTTTAGGGTTTAGGGTTTGATATGGTTGCTGGGCTGCCAAGCCCTGGTAGCATGGATGACTCTAAAGGGCGGCTTCGCAAGGGGCATTAAACCCTAAACCCTAGACCCTAACCCCTAAACCCTAAACCCTAAACCCTAAACCCGAAACCCTAAACCCTAAACCCTAATGTTGGACCCTGTTTAGTCAGGGGCCTCCTCTTTAAAGTCAATTTGGCCGAATTATTCAAGACCCCCTGACTGTTTGCGGGGTCCTCTTTAAAGTCAAATCGTCCGGGCGCCGTAAGAAAATTCCACGTGGCGCGCCTTTAAAAAAGATAACCGGGCATCGCTGCCCCTTTTTCAACCTATCTAAACTCCTCCCTATTGAAATCATATAAGCCCCCGGGGCCGTGTAATCAGGCTCCCATCCACGCCTCGACTGTTCGGGGGGGGGGGGGGGGCCCCTACACATTAAAGAGGGTCCAACATTAAACCCTAAACGACGCTTGCCTAATTTGGGTCTAAAATTAAACCCTAAAATGGGGTAGGTTTGAACAAAGTTTTCATGTATCTTACCCTTATACCCCCCCTATACAGTCCTCACACAGCCATAAAAAAACATGAATTTCATAGGGCCCCCAAAACTACCCCAAGTAAACCCCTAGACTGCACCCTATACCCCTAAACCTCTCAAGCCCCAAGCCCGCTAGACCCCCAAGCCCGACCAAGCAGCAGCAGTCCCCGAATAGGTCAAGACCAAAAACAGGGCTTAGGGTTTAGGGTGCAGGGTTTCGGGTCTAGGGTTTAGGGTTTAGGGTTTAGGGTTGGGGCGCTCACGCTGATCTGATGTCAAGGAGTTCGTGTGCGAGCCCGGGGGAATCCTTTCCCCTGAGCAGTCGATGGAGATGCCATCTCGGTGCCTCAATCATTTATGCCGGGAAAAAGACACTTCGATCGAGGAGGATGCACCCCATGCACATTACTTGGAGGTTCGTGGTGCTTCTTAACCAGGTATCACCGCTCTTCTTCCTGTACCGATGGCCATATTGGGGCACTTAAGGGGCTTATAGGTGGGTAATAGGTACAATTACAAACTGGTTAACAAGTGCCATGAACCTGCAAGCAGGGGCCAGAGGGGCCGGTTTGGACATGCCGGGCAGGATTCCTGGTGATCGCTGAGCGGCCCTGCTGTGACAAGCCACACAGGGAACGCCGTGGCTCAGGCAATTGGGCTTCGCTCGGTTGCTCTGACTTTCTTGCTGGTAGGGTTTGGGGTTTGGGGTTTGGGGTTTGGGGTTTAGGGTTTAGGGTTTAGTGTTTAGGGTTTGAAACTCTACAGTCCGAAAGGTCTTGAAAGCCATGCCATAGAGGAACAGCCAGTTCACCGAAGACGAGGAGACGCCCCTGTCGTTCATCGCGGACACCGCCCGATGGCCAAGGGGGTTTAGGGTTCAGAGGGTTTAGGGTTTTGGGTTTAGGGTTTAGGGTTTAGGGTTATTTAGGGTTTAGATACATCCCCTTCGAACCCAGAGGCTGAAGGCGCTGTCGCCCGCTCAGACTCAACCGGTTGAGGGCTTCTAGGGCCTAATGCGTTTGCTCCCAGAATCGAGATGGGGGTTTACGAAACCCTAAACCCTACACCCTAAACTCTAAACCCTAAACCCTAAACTGTAAGAGTCCCCCAAATAGTAGGATTCCCTGATCATGAGGACCCTACTGAGGTACCCCCAAACTTCGGAAAACCCCCAGATTGCTGAGATAGCTCACCCCTAAACCCTAAACCCGAAGCCCTAAACCCTAAACCCTAAACCCTAAACCCTAAACCCTAAACCCTACACCCTACACCCTACACCCTAAACCCTAAACCCTATAACCCTATAACCCTATAAACCCTAAACCCTCAGGTGAGCAACATCTCCGGCAATCGGGTCGGAGCCTTACCAGGAGCTTCTTGTGGGGAGGGTGGGGTGGGGGCCTTCATCCCTGAGAACGAAACCCAAAAAACCGCAAGCCCATACGATAATTCGTAGCAAGAGTAGCCCTAAACCCTAAACCCTAAAAACCCTCATAAACTCGTAATCCCTAGGCCCTGTAGGTGTTTGGGGCCGAGGGCGACGGGTTCAGGGTCAGAGGCATGTAGACAGGACAGTCTCCTCTAAACGCCCAGCATGACCGGAGAAGCCAACCTCGCTCCAGGTTTAGGGTTTAGGGTTTAGGGTTTAGGGTTTAGGGTTTAGGGTTTAGAGTTTAGGGTTTAGGGTTTAGGGTTTTGGGTTTTGGGTTTAGGGTTTAGGGTTCAGGGGCAGGCGACCCCCCTAATATACGTATTAGATTTATTTGAGTTGAGGGTTTAGGGTTTAGGGCTTAGCGCATGTTGGCGGTCCGAGGGAAGGGCTCGGTGAAGGCCACGTTGAGTTGGATGCCTCGCTCCTCTTGAACCCCAAGCCCTATAATCCTAAACTGGTGAACCCTAAGCCCTCTAACTGCTGAACCCCAAACCCTAAACCCTAAACCCTCAGCCTAAACCCTAAGGTGGTACCGCCCCCCTACGAGGGAGGGCCGAGTGTGGTGCCGCACAACTGAGCCACGGGGGGCGGGGGCTTAGGGTTTAGGGTTTGGGGTTTGGGGTTTAGGGTTTAGGGTTTAGGGTTTAGGGTTTAGGGTTTAGGGTTTAGGGTTTAGGAAGAATTTCGTGACCCAGATTCTAAGCTCGACCATGCTGGCGGAATTCGCTGATCACTTTCACGCGCCGGGAAAAAGGACCCAGCCTAGCAGTCAACCTGAAGACTGATTTAGGGTTTAGGGTTTAGGGTTTAGGGTTTCGGGTTTAGGGTTTAGGGTTTAGGGTTTAGAGTTTAGGGTTTAGGGTTTAGGGTTTAGGGTTCCCTAAGGGTCCATGTACCTATGTAGTACATAACTCGGGCCCTACAGCGTGGGGGGTCTGGTCTTCATGGTGTTCTTGGAGGTTCATGGCACTTATTCGCCAATGAGAACTCTACGTATAACCCACTTATGAGCCCCTTCAGTGCCCTAATACGGTTATATAATCCCTACTAAGGGCTGTTAGTATAATTTAGGGGGAAACATCCCAAAGTCTATGCCTGAACCGACTTCATCAAAAGTGGGGGGGGGGGGGCTTCGCGAAGGATCTCTAAGAAGGATGTTTGCGTTAGGTCCTCCCCCGCAGCCGCCCTAACCAGCAATCTTAACCCAAAGCCCTAAACCCCAAGCCCTATACCGCAAACCCCAAACTGGGAGTCTCCGAACCTTATTCGTTCCCGTAAACCCTAAACCCTAAACCCTAAACCCTAAACCCTAAACCCTAAACCCGACACTTGTCTTTGTAGAGGGAGGGGCTTGTGCAAAGGAGGATCCAACGTTGCGATTCAGGACAGGCGCCCTGCTCACAGCGCAGAGCGAGGGACCCAGGGTTTAGGGCTATGCAGCTTTTAGGGTTTAGGGTGTAGGGTTTAGGGCTAGGGTTTAGGGCTAGGGTTTAGGGTGTAGAGTTAAGGGTTAAGGGTTATTAAGGGTTTGGGATCTCGCCTTTTCTGACCTTCCAGTTTCGCTCGCCCTCCCGCAGCACTGCCTTAAGGCCAGCCGTAGCCTCAACGAAGTAGGCCCTGCTGTGATCATACGAAGTTGCGGATACGGGCTGATATGAGCCATGTGCTTCCAATCCAGTGTGGAAGTGCACATCGGAGAGGCATGTTCTGGTTTGATGATTCAGGTTAGGGCTCTTAAGAGGTTTAGGGTTTAGGGTTTAGGGTTTAGGGTTTAGGGTTTAGGGTATCAGAGCAAGCATCGCAGCTGGGCAGATAGACTTTCCATGGCTTTGGGCACCATGGGTGTTGCCACCCTCGTCGCCGTTCTGCTGGTGCCAACACTGGGTGTGAAGCTCCAGGCAGGACCCTAAGCCCCTAAACCCTAAACCCCTAAACAACCCTAAACCCCGAAACCCTAAACCCTAAACCCTAAACCCTAAACCCTGTGAAGCATCAGGGTTTGATGGTTTAACTGTGCCTTGCGGCAGCTGGTAACCCTAGACCCTAAACCCCAAGCCCCTTGCCCAAACCCAAATCCTAGACTAGAAGGCTGTAGCATCGTCCACTGAGACATTGGACGACCTCGGGTTTCCTTGGCGTTTTGATCAAGGCTCGTACCCCTAAGGTTGTACCCCCAGTGGTTCCCCTGAATATGCACCCAATATGGCCCTTGCACTACGTTAAGGATCTTCTAAACAGGCTCCCCAAAGCCCCAGGGTGCAACCTTAAGGGTCCAAGGTACAACCTGGTAGGTATTTCCGGAGCAGTGGGCTCACTTTAATGAGATTCAGGAAGCTAGGCGTGTAAGTGATTTAGGGTTTATATAGGGTTTAGGGTTCAGGGTTCAGGGTTCAGAGTTTAGTGTTTAGGGTTTTAGGGTTTAGTTGTGCAGACCAGCACCATCTTCCGGAAAGGTCGATGAAAATCCGTTTCATCTTGAGTTTCACGCGAGGATGGCTGAGAGTCTGCTGGTGTATGTACTTTGAGTGATGGGAGAGCCAGCTGAGACTACGGAAAAGCACTTCACTAAACCTGGGGTGAGGGTATAGGGTCTAGGGTTAGGGTTTAGGGTTTAGGGTTTGGGGTTTGGGGTTTAGGGTTTAGGGTGAGAACCTGCTCAACCTTATCCCCGGATTGCTCCAGAACCACTAAACCACCCTGCGTGCAGCCCCTTGTCCCTGCGAAGGTCGAGCATGAGAAGAGGCGCTGGTATTAGGGTTTGGGGTTTAGGGTTTAGGTTTTCGGGTTTGGGGTACAGGGTTTCGGGGTTTAGAATTCAGGGGGTCGGGCTTTTTTCAAAACTCGAGGGCTTTCCTTGGGGGGGTTAGTTAGGGCGTGCGAGTTTGAATATCCCTCCTTCCCCCTCTCCCCCAATTTGTCTCTCCGGAAGTTCTAACGCTAAGTCAAAACAACAATCTTGGTGGATGGCTTTAGGGTTGGAACCGCCAGGGCAGACTGCAAGATCTTCGCGATGTGGGACTACCACGCGGGCAAGGCACACGCAGATGGTCGATCGGATCGAGCCGAAGCCCTAAACCCTAGACCCCTACACCTAAGCCCTAACCCCGAAGAAGGTTCAGGCTTGGAGCTGCCTAGGGTCTAGGGTTTAGGGTTTAGGGTTTAGGGTTTTGGATTGGGGTTTAGGGTTTAGGGTTTAGGGTTTAGGGTTTAGGGTTTAGGGTTTAGGGTTTAGGGTTTAGGGTTTAGGGTTTAGGGTTTAGGGTTTAGGGTTTAGGGTTTAGGGTTTAGGGTTTAGGGTTTAGGGTTTAGGCTGGCAAGTTGGGGTTGAGCAGGGTTTTCGTGTACTGGGCTTCTTGAGCTACCCCAAACCCGAATCCCTAAGCCCCAAAACCACTTCATTCCGCAGACCCCGTTTAAGGTTTAGGGTTTAGGGTTTAGGCTTTAGGCTTTAGGCTTTAGGGTTTAGGGTTTAGGGGTTCAGGATTTCTAAGACCAAGGCTTTAGTGGGGCCCAGGCCTCAGGTTTGGGAGCTTCAGTGCCTGCGCTCCCTAACCCGAAACCCTTCAGGGAGCAATACTCGGACCCCTTTAACGATGCACCCCCCCTAGGAGGTTCCCTAAGTGTAATGCAGGGGCCTGAATATTTAGAACAGGGTTTTGGGGGTGATTAGAGTATACATATATAGGGACCAGGGATACTATTCGTAATTATTCCGACCCCTATATTACTCTGAATATGGGTCTAGAGGATCCTGAAAGAAGGGGTCGCCAAACCCAAGAAGGGTGCAACCCTAAAAGGGCTCCAAGGTAGCCATAAAACCCTTAAACTATACAAATTCAACATACCCCAAATTCATACCCCTTGATCTCTCTAAGGCGAAAGTATAAGGAAGGACTTTTCCATGCCGCTTAAGTTCGTTTCAGGGGTATACCCAAGGGATATGTCGAACACATCTTAGATAAACCCCAAACCCTAAACCCTAAACCCATGGCAGATCTTGTGGAGGTGCCCTTCTTCATCCAAAAGGATCTCGAGTCGTGGGCCCTGCATTCTCATGGCCGCTGCGGCAGCCCCGTGCCCATCCCGGGAGCAAAGGGCTTCGCGCGGTTTAGGCCCCGAAGATTTTCGTCTGCAGCTCGGTAGGTCTCTAGCGAAGGGGCTCTTGATACTTCTGTGCTGGACGAAAGGTTGTAAGGGTTAGGGTCTTCCACTTGGCTAGCTTCTCATGTATGGGCCCTTAATTTGTAGAGTGTATACAAGGGGGCACCCTTCGAAGGGCCCATACTTTGCGACCATGTAACTACCCTTAGATAGCTGCGGCTAGCTGCTCGCTGAAGTTCTTGCTGGTAAAGTACTGTAGATACAGTAGATAGCACCTAGACATTGACCTGTAAGAGACTGCAGGGAGGACGCAGACACAGATTGCAACAGAAGGGTCGGTTCTAGCCCCCCCCCCCCCCCACACAGTGGCCCTAAACCCTAAACCCCAAACCCTAAACCAAAAACCCTAAACCCTAAACCCCCCCACTACCGCAACAAGGTGAAGCTTTGTGACGCCGAGGGGGGGGGAGGGGGGGGGGGGGGGATAAGGAGGGCTTTGAGCAGGTACTCATCAATGACACCAACATCGCCGACTACATCCCGGATCTTCCCGAAGAGTACTTCAGGTCGGGCTCCATGTTCGGTAACAGCCAGTTGCAGCCAAGTATAGGGCTTTGGTTTTTTTGGAAGTCCTGGGTTTAGGGTTTAGGGTTTAGGGCTTAGGGTTTAGGGTTTAGGGTTTAGGGTTTAGGGTTTGGGGTTTAGGGTTTAGGGTTTAGGGTTTAGGGGTAGACAATAACCCCTACAACCCCCAAGGCCTCCGTCCCGACCCACAACCCCTAAACCCTAAACCCTAAACCCTAAACCCTAAACCCTAAACCCTAAACCCTAAACCCTAAACTCCCCAAGCCACAGCTGGACTGTGCCTAGAAGAATGGCCACTAAACCCCGCCAAATCAGCAATGCTTGAGGGGTTCGGCTTTTGGGTGTTGGGTTTGTGAAATGGGTATGTTGATACCCCAACAATAATCTGCATCATTGTTTGGAAAACGGCCCTGTGACGCCGAACCATAACCTAAACCCTAAACCCTAAACCCTCAACCCCCTTAGCCTTGAACCCTAGAGCTCACTGGACAGACTTCCGGACCATGGATCTCGCTCGGATGTGATCCGCTACGCGCTGATCTACCACCATGGAGGCGTGGGGTTTAGGGTTTCGGGTTTAGGGTTTTGGGTTTTAGGTTTTAGGGCTTAGGGTTTCCGGGCTTAGGGTTTAGGGGTTAGGGTATAGGGTGTAGGGTTTTGGGTTTAAGGGCTTAGAGGGTTTATAGGGTTTATAGAGGTTATAGAGGTTATAGAGTTTATATGGTTTATAGGGTTTCTAGGGTTTATAGAGTTTATGGGTTTTATATGGTTCACGGGGTTTGTAGGGTTTGTAGGGTTTATAGGTTCTGGGGCTCATAGGGTTTGCACAGGGTTCATAGGGGTTATCGGGTCAATGGGCTTGATAGGGTTCATAGGTGTATAGGGTTAAAGAGGTTAGGGTTTTCAGGGTTTAGGGTTTAGGGTGGCTCGAAGGTTGGGGGGGGGGGGGGTCGAGTCTCCTTGAACCCTCACCACTGATGAGCCCTCAACCCTAAGCCTTCAACCAATCAAGGGACTAAAGGAGGGACCCTTAGAAGGGACCTCAGGGGTTTATTTCGTGTCTAGTGAGGTATTTTGGGACTGTATAAGGTACCTATAGGGGTTGTATAGGGGAAGAAGATGAGGGGTCCCTTCTAGGGGTCCCTCCTTATACCGCTTAAACGAACCATCCTAGCTCTCTCTCCCCCGGATCCCGAAACCCGACACCCCTAGCAGAATCATAACCTCGGGCATGGGCCCTGTCATGCCGCCCCGAAAATCCTGAAATTTCGGTCTTGGGCTTGTTGGGGTGTAGATTTATGGGGTTTAGGGTTTTGGGTTTAGTGTGTAGTGCTTAGGGTTTAGGGTTGGAGAGAGAGACAGAGAGGGAGAGGGAGGAGAGGGAGAGGGAGAGGGAGAGGGAGAGGGAGAGGGAGAGGGAGATTGAGAGGGAGATTGAGAGAGGGGGGAGAGAGGGGGGAGAGAGAGGGGGGAGAGAGGGGGGAGAGAGGGAGGAGAGAGGGAGGAGAGAGGGATGAGAGAGGATGGAGAGAGGAGGGAGAGAGGGAGGAGAGAGGGAGTGAGGGAGAGAGGGAGATCATGATAGAACCGAGCTCGGATGTAACTGAGGTGCCGAGGGGTTCGGGTGTTAGGTTTTAGTACTTAGGATTTAGGGCTAGTGTTTGGGACAAAGTCTTGAAAGTTCTCGAACTGACCCCGCAAACCCCTTACCATCACACTGCTGCTTGGGTATGGCACGGGGTATTCATATCATCTCTTTTGTTACTCTCCTTCGTTCCTTCGCAACCAGCAGTAAGCATCTGGCATCTATTGGGGTGCTCCCCATTAGACTAACAGTCCTTGATAGGGATTAGAGTACACCTCCGCCCCCCCAATAGAATCCCTATTAAGGACTACCCTAAACCCTTAGCCCAAACCCTAAACCCTTTACCTAGTGGGGGAACATTCCAAGGCATCTACATGGACACAGACATCCTGGTGCTGCGGGATTTGAACGAGGCTGCCGCGAAGTTTAGGGTTTAGGGTTTAGGGTTTAGGGTTTGGGGTTTAGGGTTTAGGGTTTATCCCTCTGCGCTCCAAGCACCCAGCACCATGCACCCAGCGCAGGTTATCGACAAGGTGGCTGACGACTATGATCTCATCTCCTACTCACAGAAGATTCGCGGCTGGATCTGGGGTATGAGGGTTTAGGGTTTAGGGTTTAGGGTTTAGGGTAGGGTTTAGGGTGGAATTCACACGGCAACGCAAGGGATGCAAGAACCACGTAAAGTTAAGTACGATTTTCTGGCTCGGATGGCAGGCAGTCGCAAGCCATCGCAGCACTGGAGCCCAATTGCACCCCAAACCCTACACCCTAAACCCTAAACCCTAAACCCTAAACCCTAAACCCTAAACCCTAAGCCCTAAGCCCTAAGCCCTAAGCCCTAAGCCCGAAGCCCTAAGCCAATCAAGAACAGTGTGGGCCTCTCACATGTACGCAGCCCGAGCTTGCCCCACTAAACCCTGCAGGCCCTCTTTGTCTTTATTTACACAAACCCCCAGGGAACCTTAAACACAATGGGTGTATAGTATAAGTCCTAGACCCTAGAGGCTTTCGCAAAACTAAGCCCTAAGCCCCAAGCCCCAAGCCCCAAGCCCTAAGCCCTAAGCCCGAAACCAAACCCTCAAGCTCCCAAACCTAGAGAACCCTCCCACATGGAGTTCCCCGAGCCCACAGAGTGCCCAAAACTGAGGCCTCCCCCTGTGACGAAAGAGAAGATCGAGGAAAGCTGGCGAAAAGAACAAATAGCAAGGAAGTTTTGAAAGCATGAGGCGACCACGTTGAAGTCACCTCGGATGAAAAAGTCGTCAGGGTCAGTAGTCCCAAGGAAGCTGATTCTGAGCTGTCAACTGAAGGTTGAGAAGAGAAGCACAAGAAGTTTTGCAGGGGCAAGGGTTTTTCTGGCAAACCGACCGTGCTTCAAGACAAGCCGCGCGGCAGGACAGAAGCTCGTGGAAGAAAGTCCGAGCATGAAGAAGACTAGGAACAAGTCAGGTTGCAAGAAAGAAAGATGAGGTTTCATGACGATGAGAGTTAGTACAATGTCAGAACATCGTGAGGATGACATCGCTATATCGTGATCACGATCAACCACAACGACTACCAGGATAAAGCAAAAGAAGCAAAGGTCGAGTTTCATCTGTCTTTAGCCTCCGCAAGAATGATTCGTGAAGAACGCCATTCCATGAAGAGAACTTGCATGAATAGCATACGAATCCTTTCCAAACCCGTCATGCAAGCGTTGCGTTTGCAAGGGGGGGCGGGGGGGAGGGCTGCGCTCCCCCTATGAAAGTTGTCCCATTTGAATGCAAAGAACACAAGGTTGTTCCCGCTGCCATTTTCCCACTGCCATTTAGAGAAAATGGAGGCTTTCCGATTAAAATATACAGAAAGTAGAGGGTTCCTACCAAAATTTTGAGAGGTTAGAGGTTTTCGTAGCGTTTGGACAACAAAGGTGTTCCTGTACAAACAAGAGAAATGGGGCCAACAAAGGCAGCACAAAAGATCGAAGCTTTACCCTTCTTTGGGGGGACGAAAGGGTGTAGGCCGGCAATTTTGTAGATGCGTCCTGTTTTGGGTCCCGGTTGAGAAGCCGGCCCAAAGGAAACACAGTCTAGACCCTAAACCCGAGCCGCAATAACTCAGAATCCCTAAGCCCTAAGACTTGAAGTAACTAGCACGCTCTACACCCTGAACCCTACTCCCTGAACCCTACCAACTAATAAACCCCAAGCCCTCCTGTGACACTTAGGCTTCCGCAACTTGAAAAAAGTTGACCCAACACCCGAAACCCTAAACCCTAAGCCCTAAGCCCTAAACCCTAAACCCCCGGTACTCGCATCTTTTCTAAAGGTAAAAGAAAAGCTCCGCGACACTTTCCGCGGCCCTGAGCCCTGAATCACTTATTGGGGTTAGTGTTTAAAGGGTTTAGGGTTTAGGGCTTAGGGTTTAGGGTCTAGGGTCTAGGGTTTAGGGTTTAGGGTTTAGGGTTTAGGGTTTTATGGTTCGGGGATCCAACTTGGGGTCCCCCATTTTTCGCAAACCCCTACGAGTACCTCCCAGGAAGAGCTGCAAATCGTTCAGCTCCAACTTTCTGGCTGGCCGGAAGCACAGCGCCTTCATGAAGAAAGTTTGGGAGGCCCCCTGGGTCGCAGTCAGGGGTTTCGGCTTTCAGGCTAGCCCTAAACCCTAGCCCTAAACCCTAAACCCTAAACCCTAAACCCTAAACCCTAAACCCTAAACCCTAAACCCTAAACCCTGAACCCTGAACCCTGAACCCTGAACCCTGAACCCTGAACCCTGAACCCTGAACCCTGAACCCTGAACCCTGAACCCTAAACCCTAAACCCTAAACCCTAGCCCTAAACCCTAACCCTAAACCCCAAACCCAAAATCCGAAAATCCCAAAGCGCAGCTCAGCTGTGGGGTTTCGGGTCTTGGGGTTGTAAACCCTATTACCTTGAGCCCTCAGAGTTTCGCTCCGCCAGGGTTTAGAGTTTAGGGTTTAGGGTTTAGGGTTTAGGGCTTTGCACGGGTTGACTTTTTCTTACATGAAGTAGGGCTTGGGGGGTGGCAGCCCTAAACACCTCAAACCCTAAACCCCGAACCCCAAAGCCTAAGTCATACAAGCCCGTTCATAAGAAATCTTGGCACCTTTGGTCCGAACACTGCACCACCCTAAACCCTAAACCCTAAACCCCGAACCAGGCGCAGAAGAAGGCCATGACCGACCACTGCACCTCTCACGACGATCGCGACACCAAGGCCCGCCCCTAAGCCTCGGAATCCCAATCTTGGGGTTTGGGGTTTAGGGTTTAGGGTTAGGGTTTAGGGTTTAGGGTTTGGGGTTTAGGGTTTCGGGTTTAGGGTTTAAGGTTTAGGGTTTAGGGTTTAGGGTTTGGGGGTTTGGGGTTTAGGGTATAGGGTTTAGGGTTTGGGGTTTGGGGTTTGGGGTTTAGGGTTTAAGTTAAGGTTAAGGGTTTAAGGTTTAGGGTTTAAGGTTGAGGGTTTAGGGTTTAGGGTTGGGGTTTGGGGCTTAGGGTTTAGGGGTTTAAGTAAGGTGTAGGGTTTGGGGCTCTACTTGAAGGGCTCTGGATGCGAGGATTCGAGAGCTTGTAAACTTAGGGTTTAGGGTTTAGGTTCAGGGGGGTTTAGGGTTTTCTTGGAAAATCGTAGAGCTTGGGCGATTCGTTTTTCTTCCAGCTTCCCTTGCATATTTTTCGGTGGCAGCGCGGACTTCCAGCTTCGGAGGCCCTGTAGGAAGTAAAGCCGCAGAACCCCTTAACACCTAAACCCTAAACCCCTAAACACTTAAGCCCCTAAACCCCAAGCCCCTGAACCCCTAAACACCAAAACCCCCCAAGCCCTGTTCTTAGGGCCTTCAGACACTTGAGTTATATCCCCTTTGGGAATTATGTTGTATTTTTGTTTATATAAAACCCAAGAGGATATTAAAATCTTATGCTTAAAAAGGTTCTAAGGGGAGTATAGCAGACACTGGAGATCGGGATCCCATGAGGTGTGCTGCCCCGCAGATCCCAAGAAGAAGTGCCATGTGCACTGGGGCGCTACTTGGCCGATGCTTACGCTTTTTGGGTTTAGGGTTTAGGGTTTAGGGTTTAGGGTTTAGGGGTTTAGGGTGTAGGGTTTAGGGTTTAGGGATTGGGGTCATGCACCTTGCCAAACCCTAAGCCCTAAACCCCAAATCCTAAACCCGCTAATGTCTAGGGAAGGGGGAGAGGAGCACTTAAACAAAAGCACAAGTACTTAGGGTTTCGGGTTGAGGGTTTGAAGTAGGGTACGGGCCGCTTTGGGGTGTTTAGAGAGATGGAAAGCGCACCCTCGCCTGATTTCACAGGTTTTGGGATTTTTGGTCTAGTAGGGTTTAGGGTTTAGGGTTTAGGGTTTAGGGTTTAGGGTTTAGGGTTTAGGGTTTAGGGTTTAGGGTTTAGGGTTTCGAGTTCAGGGTGAGGCTGGCACCTCCAGGATTGGGATGAAGAACCCGAAGCCCGATTTCCTGAACCCTAGTTGCGTGTCCAAGTGGGGTTGCGGGGTTGGGGCTTCGCAACCACTTACCATGAACACTTGCACCCGAGACCAAACCCCTAAACCCTGAACCCTCAACCCTCAACCCTAAGTCCTAAACCCTCAACCCTCAACCCTAAACCCTAGCCCTAAACCCTAAACCCTAAACCCCAGGCCATCGGCGAGATGGTGTCCCACCCTGCCTTCGACGAGTTTGCTGCCTCCAACCCCACGATGAAGAAGCATTGCTTCGCAGAGGAGGACTGTGGGGAGGGCTTACGGGTACTTATTAACCAAGTATAATTGTACTTAGGGGTTTAGAGTTTAGGGTTTAGAGTTTAGGGTTTAGGGTTTAGGGTTTGGTTATTAGCCCATTTTACTGTACTTCTCACCCACTCAAGAGCCCCTTAAGTGCCCTAGTATGGCGCAGAGGAGGAAGGGGACTCGATGGCTGATTGGGTTTAGGGTTCAGGGGTTCAGGGGTCTAGGGGTTCAGGGTTTAGGGTTTAGGGGTTCCGGGGTTTAGGGGTTTAGGGGGTTTAGGTTTCAGGGGTTTGGGGGTTTAGGGGTTTTAGGGGGTTAGGGTTTTAGGGGTTTTGCGGGTTTAGGGGTTTTGCGGGTTTAGGGGTTGTAGGGGTTAGGGGTCTGGGGTTGGCGATGTACGACTTACCTAGGAAGCCCAGAATTTTCAAACTTCTCTTATTATGTTTTTTTTTTTTTTTGGGGGGGGGGGGGGGGGGGGGGGGTCGGTTGCATTCTAAGCCTCATGAGGCAGACAGGGCACCCCCGTCCCATGCCTGAGCTGTCGGAACTCGGACTTCGCATGGTGGTGGATGCGTCCCGGTCGGGGTTTGTGGGGTTTGTAGGGTTTAGGGTTTAGGGTTTAGGGTTTAGGGCTTAGCTCTCTAAACCCAAAAACCCTACACCACCAACCCTCACCCCCGCCCTCAGTGCTTCTTTGTCTTGCAAAGGGGAGTTCTTGAAGTGATCCAACTACCCAGGTGAGCCGAAGTGCGAGGGTCAGAATCTAGCTTTCAGACCCATATGAAACAGGGTTTATATTACTGTTATTGGTGAGTGTATATAAGGTTCCTTTTTGAAATTGGTGAGTGTATATACCTGGTGTCCTTTTGGGGGTACAAGAAATATATACCCTACTTCATATAACCTTCTCCTATAGTGTGGAACTCGGGTGGTATGTCCAAGTTTCCATGATCTTCCTATATCATCCTCAACAGACTCCACACCCCTAGCCGGCCCTAGCTCCCTAAACCCTAAACCCTAAACCCTAAACCCTAAGCCCTAAACCCTAAACCCGCTGATCTTCCTTCTTGGGCCCGCGTCGGCGCGATGGGCTGCGGCGCTTCGAGCCGGAAGGAGCTGACGTGCACGGAACCACAAAGTGAGGCCCGCGGGCTGGGTTTAGTATTTAGGGTTTAGGGTTTAGGGGGGAGTTGGGGGGGGGTTGGTGGATAGCCTATAGCCCCAATAGCAAGCCCCAAGCCTAAGCACTGCTTTTGTCGCAGTGAGAGCTGCAGACTGGTGTACAAGCTTGAGGCTTTGAACCTCCCTGGGTTCCCCCGAAGCAAACCCCAGAACCCTGCAGGCCCCAAAGCCCTGCAAGCCCTAAACCCTAAACCCTAAACCCTAAACCCTAAACCCTAAACCCTAAACCGCATTCGTCCGAGGAGCTGCAAGGGGATCGGATCTTCCTGTGGAAGCAGTGGAGGCCAGATGGTGTTGCCACTGGCTCAGGGGAGTACATGTTCGACACCGCGCAGCAGATGACTTCACCTCCCTGGTGGTGCGCCAGCAGGTGAAGTTATCTGCTGCGCGGTGTCCAACATGTACAATCCCGACGCTTGGGCTGCAACGTAGCGGATGTGGGCTTCGTAGACCTCTGCCAGGCTGGGGCAGGCACAGGGTTTAGGGTTTAGGGTCTATAGGGTTTTGGGTATAGGGTATAGGGTTTAGGGTTTAAATTTGGGCTACAGCTGCTTCCTGGGCATGCGCGACCGAGAATGTGTCCCATTGAGTTGAGGGTGTTCAGGCACCGTTGACCGTCTGGTTCGATGAGGAACCCGTCTTTGGGACACTGCGCAGATGATGGTACCTGGAGCCTCCCCAGCAATGAGCGCGAAATGCGAAGTGGCGGTCGACGGTGGAATTCAGGAGCACCTCGGCGCAGAAGTCGCAAGACTGAGGGAGTGTCACGCTCAGAAGCTTTGAGCTCTCAGGAGCCTGAAAACGCTCGTGAAATGAAGAGGTCAATCCCAAATGCAACGAAGCATAGCGAATCGTTCCATTTCGCAAAGACATGCGCGTGCTGCTCGGACGAGTGAGGTCCCCTCTAGAAGGGGGGCTTTAGCCTTCGGGGAGCGGTTTGCACCAGGTACTTTGCGGTCCTAGCGAAGGCTGGTGTTGCCACTGGCTCAGGGGAGTACATGTTGGACACCGCGCAGCAGATGACTTCACCTCCCTGGTGGTGCGCCAGCAGGTGAAGTCATCTGCTGCGCGGTGTCCAACATTTACAATCCCGACGCTTGGGCTGCAACGTGAGCAAAGGGTTGCCCATACCACACAAGATATACAAGCAAGGTGGGGACACAGGCCCGGAGGTAACCCTAAACCCTAAACCCTAACCCTATGAACTATGAACCCTAAACCCTAAACCCTAAACCCTAAACCCTAAACCCTAAACCCTAAACCCTAAACCCTAAACCTGCCGCTTGCAACCGGCGAGCCGCCCAGTTCCTGGTCGGATTATGGGGCCGGGGGGCTCCGCCTTGCTTGCAGATGCCGAAGAACACTGGCTTCGCAAGAGCGAAACCCTAAACCCGAAACCCGAAACCCCAAACCCTAAACCCTAAACCCTAAACCCTAAACCCTAAACCCTAAACCCTAGACCCTAAACCCTAAACCCTGACCATAAACCCTAAGCCCTAAACCCTTGAAATCGAAAGCCTCGGGGTGGCAAAAGAAGGCTGCCCTGAGCGCACAGACCCTAAACCCTAAACCCTAAACCCTAAACCCTAAACCCTAAACCCTAAATAGCCCCGAAGCATCCTAAAGAGCTGCTGTGGTGAAATTTCCAAGCCTCGCCTGCACAAATACGCATCTGGCTGCTGTGTTTGCGATTGTTCCCGGACTGTTCCCTGGCTTGCACAATTACCCTAAACCCTAAACCCTAAACCCTAAACCCTAAACCCTAAACCCTAAACCCTAAACTAGTTGTGGTTCCTGGGCATGGCTTTTGACTGATGTTGACCTTGGCTTAAGCCCGGGCTTGGCTAGGAAGGACCGAGCTTAAGCCCAGCAGCGCCGCTAGAGTGATCCCCAAACCCTATACCCTATACCCTAAACCCTAAACCCTAAACCCTAAACTCAGCTGGGGCGTTGGTGCAACTTGCATCCACGGCACGCCCCCGGGATCGGCAGGCCTTGAGAGCCCTGCAAAGCAGGGCCACGGTGATCCTCAGTCGCACCCCCCAAATCGCAAGGGTGGCGCCGGTTCCGCACTGCAGCCCCATGTTGCACAAAAAGAGATATGCAAGCACAAGCAGCCCCTCATTATATACATATATATATATATGTATATATACATATATATGTATATATAAATATATGTGTATATATATATATATATATACATATATTATGTGTATATCTAGGTATATACCTATTCATGTTATATACTATATGTTTGTAAATGGCAGTGGCCTCGCTGCATGGTGGTCGGATCGCGTTGGGCAAGTGTGAGGTTGAGGGATGAGGGCGGCTTAGTCAGCCTTTTTCCGCTTGAAAATCTGGGGTTTAGGGTTTAGGGTTTAGGGTTTAGGGTTTAGGGTTTAGGGTTTAGGGTTTAGGGTTTAGGGTTTAGGGTTTAGGCCTATACAAACCCTCAACCCTCAACCCTAAACTGACTTGGGGTTTGGGATGTCTGGTTCGGTCTGGCGCTTGCCTTGGACGGTCTAGGGGCCTTTGAGCAGGGGGCCCCACTCAGGTTTTGATTGTTCTCATGTTTTGAGGGGGTGGGTTTAGAGTTAAGCCCTAAACCCTAAACCGCAAACCCTAAGGGTTTAGGGTAGATGGGGTCGGGGCCCGTTTCAGGGGTTTTGGGCCTGTCAGGATTTTGTGGGGCTTAGGGCTGTTTAGAGAGAGAGAGAGAGAGCGCGCGAGAGACAAAAAAGCAACTTTGCGACTTCAGAATGATATGCTGTCAAGAACCGAGGTTTGAGTCGATTTAGAAGAAAACTGGTTTCGGGGGGCCTGGAAAGGATCATAACGAAATTGCAGGCTCCAAGTGGTCCACATACCTAGGTCTCTTTGTTTTTGTGTGTCTTGACGAGGTCTCTCCTCAACCAGCCCGAAACCCCAAAGGCCAAGCCCTAAACTCACCTTCCCAACGCAATAGCCTACGGCCTTCCATGAAGATTCACCCCTCCTGCCTGAACCCTCCTGGTTTGGGGTTTAGGTTTGAGGGCTTGGGGGGGTGGAGGGGAGGGGTTGAGTAGGCCTACCCTTAAACCCTTTAACCCTTAAACCCTAAACCCTACACCCTAAACTAGGGGGGGGGGGGGGTTCTTTACTTTCCCCATTGTTGGGTCCCAGCTCGCATGAGCCAACCTAGATACCCTACGAGCATCCTAAGTCCAATGCCCCAAACCTCCTAAACCGAAAGCCCCAAACCCCAAACCCCAAACCCCTAACCCCTAAACCCTAAACCCTAAACCCTAAACCCTAAACCCTAAACCCTAAACCCTAAACCCTAAACCCTAAACCCTAACCCTAAACCCTAAACCCTGGCCCCAAACCCGAAACCCCCCCATAAAACCGACGCTGGCAAAGCCACAGCACTGGAGGATGGCGAGTCCTTTGCCCCTGAGGGTGCGAGGCTTAGAGGGCGCGCAGTTCCCCTTAAGCCGGCATGCAGGGTTTAGGGTTTAGGGTTTAGGGTTTAGGGTTTAGGGTTTAGGGTTTAGGGTTTCGGGTTTAGGAATTAGGGTTTAGGGTTTAGGGTTTTGGGTGTAGGGTTTAGGGTTTAGGGTTGAGGTTTAAGGGCTTATAGGGTAATTACACAGTAGCCCCTACAAGCCCCAAATCCGATATCCACATGAGCATGAGCAAGACCCTGCGCCACCGAGAGCAGCGTCCCAGGCGGCGGGCGAAGCTCTAATGCTGTAGCATCTCAAACCCTAAACCCTAAACCCTAAACCCTAAACCCTAAACCCTAAACCCTAAACCCTAAACCCTAAACCCTAAACCCTAAACCCTAAACCCTAAACCCTAAACCCTAAACTAAACCTAAACCCTAAACCTAAACCCTAAAAACCCTAAACCCTAAACCCCTAAACCCTAAACCCTAAACCCTAAAACCGAAACCCGAAACCCTACCCCCCCCCCCCCCCCCAAAAAAAAAAAAACAACAACAACAACAAGCAAAAAACAAATGCAGGTCCAAGCCGTGGCCAAGTAAAGGAAAGTAGCCTTCCCATCACATGGCAACAAGTAGAGGGCTCAAGCAGCTACTTGCAAGTGCCCTCTGTGACAATTTAGGGTTTAGGGTTTAGGTTTTAAGGTTTAGGGTTTGGGTTTTTAGGCCGATTTGCTTAAGAACCAAAAGTCGAACATGTACTTCCTTCTTAGGGCAAGATGAGGAGCATTCTCTCCTTTATTCGAGGGTCCTTAAGCAAATCGTAGTCTTCTGTCCTGAGGTATGGGCACGGTGCTCTTCACCAAGCGCAAGCTAAACGACGCCCTGCCCTTTTTTACAGGGATCAAGACGAAGCAGCCTGGAAGCACTGGCTTTGCAAGGGGCACTGTTTATAGGGTTAGGGTTTAGGGTTTAGGGTTTAGGGTTTAGGTTTTAGGGTTTAGGTTTGAGCCGGCCCCAAACCCTCATCCTGAAACCTTAACCTCTCGACCCCACACCCTCAACCCGAAACCCCAAGCCCTAAACCCTAAACCCTAAACCCCAAATTTAAGGAAACCAATGGATCGGCTGGCCTACCACCTCTTCAATGCGCAGGGCTTCCAAAGGTTGGGCCGGTGTGGTCGAAGTTCGGGTTCATGGGTTTGGGGGATTGGGGTTTAGGGTTTAGGGTTTAGGGTTTAGGGTTTAGGGTTTAGGGTTCAGGGTTCAGGGTTTAGGGGTTAGGGGTGTAGGGGTTTAGGGGTTTAGGGGTTTAGGGGTTTAGGGGTTTAGGGGTTTAGGTCAGTGTTGGGGGTACAGGCCGGCTGTGTGTTGTGTGTGTGTGCGTGTCGAAATGTCTGAGTTTCAACCCTCAACTCGCAAAGCCGGTCCTCCCTCGCCCGCCCTACTTCCAAGATGGAATCCGCCACGTTCCCGCGCATCTTGAGCTTGAAGTTGTGTTCTTCCCAGCCTCGGGGTACTTCGGTGCTTTTGGGCGCATGGCTTTGGACGCGTATAGATGAACCCTTGGACCCATGAACCCTAGAACCCTGCAGCTTGGATCCGCGATGCGCGAATTAAGGGATTGAGCCCGCAACTTTCGGGGCAGCGGGCTGTGTGTCAAACCCTAAACCCTCAACCCCAAACCCCACATCCCAAACCCTAAACCCCCAGACCCTGTGCGACGACTCGTCTTGCAGGGAGTACGCGGGAAGCGCAATCTTTGACTCAACCCTCTTCGTCGGCGCGCTCTACCGGCACCTTGCTTCAAATTTCGCGCCGATAGGGCTGTCTAGGGCCCCTGTAGTGGTAGCCCCGGGCCTCTACCCTAAACCCGGTTTAGGGTTTAGGGCTTAGGGCTTAGGGTTTAGGGCTTACGAAGGGGTCGCCCTAAACCCTAAACCCTAAACTCCGACTGCCCGCTGCCACGAAGGAAGAGTTTGGGCAACGCCTCCGCGCCACCCAAAGGGCCTGCGGACGATGGCCCCGCCGAGCTGCCGAGAAGCAGTGAGTCAGTTCAAGGGGTTTTGGGCCTTTAGGGCTTTCAGGGGTTTCAGGGTTTTAGGGTCTTAGGGCCTTAGGGGTTTTTAGGGTTTTAGGGCTGTTAGTGGGGGTTCAGTTCAAGGGTTTGGGGGGGAAGCAGGGTTTGGGCGGTTTGGGCGGGGGTTTAGGGTTCTAGGGCTTTAGAGTTAACAGGTTTTAGGGTTGGGGTTCAAGGGTTTGGGGGGTTTAGGGCTTGAGGGGTTTTAGGGCTGCAAGGTTTATGGGGATTTAGGGTTTAGGGTTGTAGGGCTTTAGGTGCTTTAGGGTTTTAGGGTTTGGCGATTTAGGGCTTTTAGGGCTGTGTGGGTTTTCGGGTTTCACGGTTTAGGGCTACAGGGCTTTTAGGTTTTTTCTAGGTTCTAGGGCTTTAGGGGTTTAGGGTTTTACGGCTTTATCGGTTGTACGGTTTAGGGTAGCGCGCTAGGGTTGAGGGCTAGGAGCTTAGGTTTTGGACGATGCCCGAGTCAGGGCAAACCTCCTCAAGATGATCTCCTGAAGACTTTTGAGGGTTTGGGGAAAGAAAGCGAAGTCACCCTAAACCCTAAACCCTAAACCCTAAATTACCCCAAAAATCCTAAACCCCAAGCCCTAAACCCCAAACCCTAAACCCTAAACCCTAAACCCTAGACTTCACATGAGGTACTGTGCGTCAGAGGGCGAGGTGTGCCCATGCTCTGGCAAAGTCTTCTTCGGGCGGAAGTTTGACAACGACAAGGCCCCCGCCGCCAGCTTGGAAGCTCCCCTGTTTCTCAGGATGTTTAGGGTTTAGGGTTTAGGGTTGAGGGTTTAGGGTTGAGGGTTTCTCAGGATGAGGTCTAGGGGTTTGTAGTTTTGAGAGGGGTTTTAGGGTTTTGGAGGGTTTGTATAGGGTTTCCAGGGTTTTGTTCGGTTTATGGGGTTTATGTGGTTTTGACGGGGTTCATTAGGAGGGGTTATAGGGTTATATGAGGGTATATGGAGTTTACCCACCGTAAGTGGGCATCAAAGACAGAGAGGCCTTGCACCAAGTCCCCGTCCCGAACGTCTGCTGGGTTTAGGGTTTAGGGTTTAGGGTTTAGGGTTTAGGGTTTAGGGTTTAGGGTTTAGGGTTGAGGGTTTGCTCAAAGCCCGAGTGCGGCCTGGGTTTTGCCAGGTCAGGGGGTGGCCTTGCACCCAGGGCTTCGGGTCTCGGATCAAAACCGCACTCAAGACAGCAACCAGCATACCCAACAGTTCAGGTAGATTTTCCTGCTCGATGACGGGTATCTTACATTTTTTTACGCAGGGGGCGGTAGCCCCTAAACCCTGAACCCTGAACCCTAAACCCTAAACCCTAAACCAGGATGGCGACAAGCTGGAACTGTCTGAGATGGTACTGGCACAGTGCCTCGGTTCGCAGCAAGCAAGCTGGGCCGGCTTCTTGGGGGGGTTCGTCGGCGGAGCTCCAGGGGTCCTTTTAGGGTTTAGGGTTTAGGGTTTAGGGTTTAGGGTTTAGGGTTTAGGGTTTAGGGTTTAGGGTTTAGGGTTCCGGTCGACGTCTGGCTTCTAGACCTTGTTTGGCAGCGGTTTGCAGCACTTACTTCGTCACAACGGCGAAAGGGCCTTCCCAGAGCCATCCGAAGCATCCTGAGTTTCAGCACGCCCCAGACATCTTGCTGAGCCACTAAACCCTAAACCCTAAACCCTAAACCCTAAACCCTAAACCCTGAGCTTCTTGTGAAGGGGAAGTGTGGGATATAAATTCACATCAGACGCCCGAGTCCCCCAAAACTTGACGGGGTTCTTGGCCAGGAAATTGGGCGAACCAGGTTGTCTTTCGGGGTCCCTTCAACGGTCATGTTGGGTTTAGGGTTTCAGAATGGGGGGTTTTGGGGGGTTTAGGGTTTATCGGTTTTAGGGTTTAATATACTGTTTTTTTGTTTATGGTTTAGGGTTTGGAAGGGGGGAAAGAGGTACCAGTCTCCTGTTTCCCATTAAGAAGAAGAAAGAGACGCCTGTAAAGCCTGTAGCAAGGTACCGCATGCAGGAGGTCCATGGAGACATCGCCCGGGCCTTGGTGACCTAGGGTGCTGTAGGGTTTGGGGTTTGGGGGTTTTGTTTGGGGGGTTGTGGGTGTAGGGTTTAGGGTTTAGGGTGTAGGGTTTAGGGTTTAGGGTTTAGGGAAATTGTAGATGGCTTCGGGTCCCAAACAACGCGTGGGCCGAACCTTTTTGACCGAGTTTTGACGGAGTTGTTTTCCTCTAAAAACTTCGGTTCGCATTGCTCAACCCTAAACCCGAAACCTTGAACTTCCTTAAACCCTAAATCCTAAGCCCTAAGCCCTAAACCCTAAACCCTCAACCCTAAACCCTACACCCCCCTTTCTTGTTTTGGGGGGTGCCTGGCCCCTGGGGAGCATTTTTTCAGGGCTCCCGGGGGCCCTCTTTTACGGTTTAGGGTTTAGGGTTTAGGGTTTAGGGTTTAGGGTTTAGGGTTTAGGGGCGTAGACACCCATGAGCCTTGGCCCAACCTTCGCAGCCCCGAGCTCCTAGACCATAAGCTTCTGGATTACCTAAACCCTACACCCTACACCCCACACCCTAAACCCTAAACCCTAAATCGAACTACCTAGACGCTACACCCCGAGCCCCTTAACCCTGGAGCCGAAACCCCCTTATAGGGTTTCGGGAGATAGGAATCCTCGAAGGGTATGGTGCCGTGGGGGATCATTTGGGTGGGCTTCTCTTAACTCGTTTGGGCTTCGGTTAGGGCTTAGGGTTTAGGGTTTAGGGTTTAGGGTTTAGGGTTTAGGATTTAGGGTTTAGGGTTTAGGGTTTGAGGGTTTCGGGCCGGGGGGGTGGGGATGTCTTCTGATAGCAGCGATAGCAAGACACCGTACCACATAGATAAATCACATACATTGAAAGCCTGCGCAGCCGCCTTTTTTGATTGAAACCCTAAAGCCTAAACCCTAAACCCCACACCCTGAACCCTAAACCCAACCCTAAACCTTAAGCCCGGCCTCTCAAAAAAACACCCAGAACCCTCTGCCCAGGCCTGCACCACCTCTGGATTTCAGGGGGATCCTCAGATCAACCGGCCAAAGCAGTGCCTCTGCCAGGCCTCAAAGGGGTTTAGGGTTTGGGGTTTAGGGCTTAGGGTTTAGGGTTTAGGGTTTGGGGTTTGGGGTTTGGGCTTTAGGGTTTAGGGTTTAGAGCTTTAGGGTTTAGGGGTCAGCTGGTCGGGGATTCTTTTGAGGGTGGTTCTACTTCATTTGAGCGCGGAGGGGAGCCTGAAACTCCCAAATGGCGTGAAGATCCTTCGGAGCCTGGGGCTGGGAGTCTATCAGCTGCCGCGTGGATCGGAGCGCTTCCCAGCCCCTGAAAGCATCCCTCCAATCCATCGGCCCAGGAACCAACCCTAAACCCCCAAACCCCCAAACCCCTAAACCCCTAAACCCCTATAACCCCTATAACCCCTATAACCCCTATAACCCCTATAACCCCTATAACCCCTAAACCCCTAAACCCCTAAACCCCGAAACCCCTAAACCCCTAAACCCCTAAACCCCCAAACCCTGAACAGCCCGAATGTCAAGTCCAGTGGCCTGCTCTCCACCAAAATCCCAAAAGAACTGTGGCACCCCGCCAACACCCGAAAAAGCCCACAACCAATTGCATGCCTAGATATTCAAAACAAGAACTTTACTCCTCCCCCCCCCCCCCGGTTTAGGGTTTAGGGTTTAGGGTTGGTTTAGGGTTTAGGGTTTAGGGTTTAGGGTTTAGGGTTTAGGGTTTAGGGCTTAGGGCTTAGGGTTTAGGGTTTAGGGTTTAGGGTTTAGGGTCCAGGGTTTGGGGTTTAGGGTTTAGGGTTTAGGGTTTATATAGGGCAACATGGGAGGTAGTCCATGGACTGTTGCCTCGGAGAGAAGACCCCTCTCAGCCCCAACAATGCCACCGACACCCCAAACTCCTTCATCTTGACCCCACGCCGATGAGCCCCTAGGCCACTAAACCCTGAACTCTACGCCTACCTTAAACTCTTAAACCCTTAGACCCCTAGACCCCCAGACCCTAAACTCAACCGTTAACCCTTAAACCCTTAAACCCTTAAACCCTCAAACCCTCAAACCCTCAAACCCTCAAACCCTCAAACCCTTCAAACCCTTCAAACCCTCTAAACCCTAAAAACCCTTAAAACCCTAAAACCCCTCAAAAACCCTAAATACCCTACATACCCTAAAAACCCTAAAATCCCAAAAACCCTTCAAACCCTTCAAACCCTAAACCCTAAACCCTAAACCCCTTAAACCCCCCCAAAACTCGAGTCCGCAGGCCATGGTGGGCGGGCCGGCTCCGAAGAGTCCAGCGGAGGCCATTTAGGGTTTAGGGTTTAGGGTTTAGGGTTTAGGTTTTAGGGTTTAGGGTTTAGGGTTTAGGGGTGCAGCAGTTGGGGCTGAAAGGCAAGCGGCAGGAGTCCTGGGGGTTTTTAGGGTTTCTTGTTGTTGTGCAGGGTTTGGGTCCCGTAAACCCTAAACCCTGTTGACCGAAAGTTGTTACCGAGCTTGACGGACTTGTGACCGAGCTTTAAACCCTAAACCCTAAACCCTAAACCCTAAACCCTAAACCCTAAACCCTAAACCCTAAACCCTAAACCCTAAACCCTAAACCCTGAACCCTGAACCCTGAACCCTGAACCCTGAACCCTAAACCCTAAACCCTAAACCCTGCCTTTTTGGAACTTAGGCTCGGCTCGTAGGGTGGCTTGAGGCCTCCGGCCTGTTGGGGCTTCCCGGGGCCTTTTCGGGCTTCCTGGTTTGTTTGGGGCTTATAGAAATTGTATAGGGCTTGGGTCCCAATAACGTTTTGAACGAAACGTTTTGAACGAAATGGTTTGAACGAAACGTTTTGACCGAAACGTTTTGACCGAACGTTTTATGTTTTGGAACTTAGTTTTTTTGCTTTTTGTGATATGGTAGGGCTCCTCAGTGCGCGCGCCGCGTGCCCGTGTGCTGGAAGCTGTCCTACCTCGTCTAGAATCTGCTGCCAGAACCTCTGAGAGGTTCCAGAGAGCCCCCCCAAGGGCTCCCCAGAGCCCAGAGCCCCCTATTCTCCGCACCGCTCAGACCCTCCCTTCTTGCAGCCTTTGCGGGGGCTTTGGGGGGGCTCGGGGGGCTCTGAGGCGGTTTGGATCATTGGCTTAAACTCAGCTGTTTAGACAAATGTCGGTGAAATTCTGGGGCTGGGGCTGGGGCAGCGCGAACCTAGAAACGGCTTGGATTAATTTACTTAAGCTGGGCTTGTTAGCTGTTTATACAAATGCTGGGGGGAGCCTAGAGGCGGCTTGGATTAACATACTTAAGCTCGGTTTGTCGATAGTCGGTTTGCCAAAAGCGATTGGAGCCAATGTACTTCAAGTCGGCTTGCCAGCTGTTTAGACGAAGAACATGGGAAATTCAAAGTGATGCCACAGAGCCCCTCCGAATGATTAACTTGCAAGGTTCGGGACCCAGCGCCCCTCCGAATTTCAAACCTGCAAAGGTTCGGGACTGATTCCCAAAAAGTTTTAATCGAAATGTCTTGACCGAAACGTTTTTGACTGAAACGTTTTGACCGAAACGATTTTTTTGAACCTAGGTGCACACCTTTGGGTTGGGAGGGGAGGGGGTCGTAATTTGGATCCTAATTCTCCGGGGCAGTTTTTGGTGCCTTGTTGGCATCGGTGGACTCCCGAAACCTTTTGTTGGGCTTCGAGGCCTTCTTGTGGCCTTTAGGCCTTTACGTGCTTGGGGCTGAATTTGGCTTAAATTGGAGGTTGGGGAGGCCTAATGGGCTAAAGTTTGGAGCCTGAAGGGGGGGGGGATCTAATTTCTGGCTTAACTTGGGGTTTGAGGGCTAATTTGGCTTAATTTGCGCCTGGGGCCGAGTTTGGAGCCTGGGGTAAGGGTGCCTCGAGCGGGCCAGGAAAGGGTTGGACGAGGTGAGGCAGGGGAGGGGTTGCCTTTTTTTGGATCCAGAGGTTTAAATACATTGGGCATTTGGCCTCAAAGTCAGCTGCTTAGACAAATAACCTGGGAAATTCACAATGATATCACATACAATTTCTATTTATTTTGTCTTGAGGCTTTACAGAAATTGTAAATGGTTTGTGTCCGGAGTTTCTTGCCGTGTTTTGCCGGGTTTGGGGTCATTTTGTCATTTTCGGCTGAGTTTTTGTTTTTTTGGAAGGATGAAGGATCATTGTACGAGCTGCTCGTAATGAATCACATACAATTTGTATTTTATCCTGGCCTTCAGGGGTTTGGGGGGTTTGGTGATGTACTTGCTTTCGTTTGGGCAGTTTTGGGGCAGCGGATCCTTGTGCAGCGCTGACTTGAATAGACAATTCGCTTTGCAAATTCAAACTGATACGCTGTCAGTTTCATTGGTATACGTAGCTTGAACAGTCAGGGAACGCGGCAGCCCAAATTCGAACCTCCAGCCCAACACAAGAAGAGCAGTTGAGGAACCCTGGGCCAACACGCACCGCACTCCATCCCCCCCCCCCCATGACGGTAATGGGCTTTTGGGTGTTGATTTTAGTTTATGTTGATTTTTGCTCCCTAAACCCCAAACCCCAAACCCCAAATCCCAAACCCTAAACCCTAAACCCCAAACCCTCAACCCTAAACCCTGAACCCTGAACCTTGAACCCCAAACCCCAAACCCCAAACCCCAAACCCCAAACCCTAAACCTTAAACCCTAAGCCCAAGCCCCAAACACTAGACAGGATGGCCCAGCGACCTTGTGCGCGAACGAGGGGGAGATGTGGCCGGCTCAGCTCCCTTTTGCTGTTTCTTGGTGCGAGGGCTTCGGTCTTGGGTGCTATACACTCCCCTTGATTTACTTGCTTAAGAACTGCAAAATCAAAAAGAATAGAGATCCCCTATCTTGTCCTTACAATTATAAGCAAAAGTTGCGTGTAGGGAGATCCCATGATCCCTAGGTCCTGCCTGAGCAGCGGATTGCCTAAACGCGTTACGGGCTCCTGCTATCAGTAGACCGACCGTCTCCGAACTAACTCAGGGTTTAGGGTTTGGGGTGTAATTTAGGGTTAGGATGGTAGCTGGCTAGGGCCAGGCATAGACCCCTTTCGTTCAATGCATGTCGGCCCCAAGGCAATTTGGAGTCTGCAAAATGCCTAGGCCCTAAACCCTAAACCCTAAACCCTAAACCCGAAACCCGAAACCCGAAACCCTAAACAATAAACCCTAAACCCTAAACCCTAAACCCTAAACGAAGCCTTCTGGAAGCCAAGGTGCCACTGCCAAGGGAAGGCCTACTACGGCCGCAAGTTCTCGCTGGGCAAGGACCTTCAACCCTAAACCCTAAACCCTAAACCCCAAACCCTAAACCCTAAACCCTAAACCCTAAACCCTAAACCCTAAACCCTAAACCACCCCTTTTGTTACACAACGCCGTGGGTGGGTTCAGGTTTAGGGAGCGCTAAAGAGCAACACGTACCCGTACCCTGCGTGACCCTAACACTTTCTTAGAATTCTGCAAGGGTATATGGAGTGGGAGCAGGGTGTACATGAAGGTTGTGGTGCGTAGAGCTCCATATTGTGGGGGTGTCTTTTCCGGGATACTAGTTATAACAACCCTGCTTCATATATCAGGGATGAAAAGAGTAGTGAAATGAGACGGATGCCATTCTACCAAGCCCTAAACCCTCAACCCTCAACCCCCAAACCCTAAACCCTAAACCCTAAACCCTAAACCCTAAACCCTAAATCCCCACTGTGCAGGCGCCACGGATCTTGAGCTTGGCGGAGACGGTCAAGTCCGTGTACCGCGCGCAGCACGCGGCGGGCCCAGTCATTTTAAGGATTAGGGATTTGGGATTCAGGGTTTAGGGTTTAGGATTTAGGGTTTAGGGTTAGGGTTTCGGGTTTAGGGTCTTTGGTAGGGTGGAGGACCCCAACAAGCATCCTAATTAGATTTTGTCAGCCTCGAACAGTCTGATATAGCCCTTGTAAAGATCGCGAAAAAAAACCCCTTATACACCCACTACCCGAATATAACTTGTAAGGACCTTATAAAGATATCCTTGTGTACCTGGGAAGCCCCCAAACATAGCCCCTTACATGAGATGAAGAGGCGCCACTGACTGCTAGACCTGGACTGTTCTTATTCCTCACGCCAGCGACTCTTAGGAACGCTGTGTCCTAAGCCCTAAAACCCTAAAACCCTAAATTCCTAAAAACCCTAAAACCCTAAATCCCTTAAACCCTAAGACCCTAAAACTAACACACCCGAAGCCCTAAAACGTCGTGGGCTTGAGCACATCCTGATTCTTGTTCTTCGAGCTTGCCTAAGGTTGCGGTGTAAAAGTGAGAGTGACAAAAGTTGTTCCCCTAAACCCTAAACCCTAAACCCTAAACCCTAAACCCCCTGCTAAGCCACCCTCAAAAATAGGAGTTGGCCACTGTTTCATCGGGAGTTTTAATACTCGGACCCAGAGCCCTTATTCTCCATTGCTCAGGGGTTTCGCCTTTGAACCAAAAAGGGGCACCCTTTTTGTTCCTCCTCGTGGGGTTCCCTTGGGTCTAGTATATCTAGGGCCCAGAACGCCACGTAAACCTAAGGATCCTACAAACAGGGTTTTTCGGATCCCCCCTTGTAGGGGCCCTGGTACCCCAATAGTAGGATCCTTACGTTTATGCGGGTTTTGTTTGGCCCCTAAATCTTCCAACCCGTTCACGGACTCATTAGGACGAGGACCGGGTCGGCTCAGTTTTTTGTCATTGGGCTTTGGTTCCGCATCGAAGGCGCCGATGTCGACTCTACACCTGGAGCCCTAAACCCCAAATCCCAAACCCTAAACTCTAAACCCTAAACCCCAAACCCCAAAGCCTAAACCCTAAACCCCAAATCGCGAAACTTGAGAAACTAAGGTGTCGGGGCAGATTCGTTGCTCTCCTACCGGCTTCGGAGGCTGGATTCCGCCTGGCACCCTCAAAACCTCTCAAAAGAGGAGAAACGTCGGTTTAGGGTTTAGGGTTTAGGGTCTAGGGTCTAGGGTCTAGGGTCTAGGGTCTAGGGTCGAGGGTTTAGATGTAAACGACCAAAAGCAATTCGTATGCCCAAACCCTGCCCAAATCCCCACCCAGCGCCATCACCACCAGCCCCAAGATGTCACAGAGCCCCAAGAAATTCAACCGAACTCCCCCCAAAGTCCCCACAGAGCAACAACCGAAACCCGCCCAAAGCGATGGACGTGCACTCTATACAATTTCTATAGACCCTAAACCCCGTTTAGGGCTTAAGGTTTAGGGTTTAGTGTTCAGGGTCAGCTCAAAAACACGCTCTCCTATCATAGGTTCTTTGGAGCCCTGGAAACCCTGACCACAACGTCTAACGTTGTTTAGGGTTTCGGGTTTTTGTTGCGGCTTCGGGTTTCCTTTTTTTTCCCGAAATCCCAAGCCACTCCTGAAGGTGATCCCTTGGTGGGAGCTTCCAAACACTGCTTCTGCCAACAGCTGCATGTGTGAGCCTTCATGGGACATCTGGCAGCATGCTTTACATGAAGTTGGTCTGAAAACACTTGCGACGAATCAAACGAATGAACCATTACAACTCTTTGTTTACATATGTTACAATTACATGACAATCTCCTTTTTGTGAAAATTCAATATTTTGTGTTTTTTCTCATGATATGTCATTCTGTGGAATTCGACTTGTATGGTAGAAATCTACTAGCCAAGAAATGATTATGACATCTCTATTTTAGATATCCAATGGCACCATTACTATATTCCAATTATTACTGCCCTTTGCTAGGTAGGGGCTTTGAGTTTTTGTTCTTTTTTTCTATTCTTTTTTTACTTTCTTAAGAATCTTTATTCGAGAGATGCTATTATATGATGAATATTTTAATGAATACAAAATTTTGCGTGTATTATTCTCTTTCTTTTTCATTTCCGAATATTCAGAAGATAGTTTATATTTGGATATTCTTATGTTCGGATTATATTTATAAAATTTCATTGCGGAATATTTTCATCTTATTATCTGATGGGATAAAGATTTTTTTCGTGATTCATTCTCGATATTGGGATTTCTGAATATTCATTCAGATTCATTGTAGATTATAATATGATATTTTATTGATATTAATGAAATCGGGAATTTATATTCTTATTTATCTATTATGATTCTTTACTTTTGG